CTGTGAGGTGAATAATCACAATAGTTCATAAAATGAACGAAATGTAAGATAACGAGAGAAAAACTACTTTCCTGGCTATATGCCACGCAGAACATTGAATTATATCCTCCCGAAATCTATGCAATAATTCGTATATAAAATCGCAAGTGTTTTATTTCGCGGACGTTGAACGCTTCGTGGGCTATAAATGCTGAGATGTGTTTATGTTGGGTCAGGTTCGCACCAGATAGCGGCCAAAAAGCTATCTGGGAGAGTCCTGTACTGATAAGAGCCAACAGCTCGAAACCAGTCTTCAGGTAGTCACGCGTTCCTGAACCACTTAGGCGTAGCTCGGCGTTTAGGAAGGAAACACTTGCGATTTTATTCGTCTATACGAATTATTGCAGATTTCGAGAGGATATAATCCAATGTTCTGCGTGGCAAATAGCCAGGAAAGTAGTTGTTTTTCTCTCGTTATCTTCCATTTTCGTTCATTTCATGAACAATTGTGGTAATGACATTGAGTTTCTGTCTATTTGTGATCTCCATATATGCTTATAAATGTATCTTTTATAATAAAACGAACTATTCAATTGGTTTCTCGTTATATTTATAGCTAGCTGACTAGAGAAAATGTCATATTAAATATGTTCCTAGTATATTTGCGCTGAAGTAAACCGATAAGGCACAAATGCCCTCACCAAATTGAAAATGTTGCCTAAGTTTTCTGTAGAGGCGAATTTCGGAACTGTATTTGGGGTCCCAAAATCTAACATTGTAGTCCAAGAGCCAACTGCAAATTTCGACCGTCATCTGATAACGAAATTGTAGTTTATCGAACGGCACCTGAGCAAAATGATAAAAAAATTGCACTTTGCTCTGAGTAAATATGCACTCGATTTCGCGATTCGATAACGATATAAGATTTATATCCGATACCAATTGAATACTAGATTTCAAAAAAATACCTGTGCCACTCCTCAGTTTGAGCAAAATTTACGGCACAGCGATTTATTTGCTGCTATTATTCCGGACATACTTCCGTCATGTGATAACGAGTTGAAAGAAGAAGCAAATAGAAGGGGATGATGTCGCCTTTGCGAATATAAAAACGTGCCGCGGTTTGAACTGATCTAAGATAGTGGCAGAGCGTCATTACTTCCCAGTATATTTCGCCTCCGCTAAAGATAATATTCAATAGAATACTTGTAGTCTGAGCACCACATGAGTTTCACATTGGTCCATTGGATAATAGCTTTCGACGGGGGCGAAATATACACGGAAATATTGACTTTCTGTCACTAACTTAGATCAGTTTGAATCGCGGCACGTTTGGATATTCGCAAATGGGACATTTTTCCCTTTCATTACCATGTTGTTTCAGCTCGTCATCACATGACGGAAGAATGTCAGGAATAATATGAGCAAATGAATCGCTGTGCCATGGATTTGGCTGAGACTGAGGGATGGCACAGGTAGGTTTTTGAGATCTACCATTCAATTCTTATCTCGTTATCAAATCGCGAAATCGAGTTCAAATTTCCGCTCAGGAAAGTGCAATGTTTTAATAGTTTTGCTCAGGATAGTGATTGGCACAGGTGCCGTTCGATGAACTGAAATGTTTTTACATTCCTCTGGGACATATATCATTTCGTTATCAGATGACGGTAGAAATGTGCAGCCGGCTCTCCTACTATTATAGGACATTATAAATATTTAAACCAGTGACATATATTTCATTCAATGAATCGATCAATTCATTAATCAATCCATGTTGAGAATTTATGATCAATTATTTCGATTTAATATGCTTTACTTGTTTCCACACCACCCACGAGGTAGTAAAGTGGTTTCCCCTGTAGGCTTAATCCACTTAGGTACTAAAATTATTTTTCAACAAGGAAATGGTTACCTCAGCTTCAGAATCGAAGTCAATTTCCTTCAACTCGTCGGATTCTCCTTCTGCAGTCGATTGAGAATCATCAAGCAGCGAATGGAGGTCTTCTTTATCGAATTCGTCCAGTGTCACTTGGCTGATATTTTCACAAGTTTTCCTTTTGCTTACACCGCATATCATTGGACATCTCAATCCAGCTCTCCTGCATCCACAGGCTCTACCAAAATCCGCCTTGCACTTACAAGGTAAAAAAATAGTGCTTTGGAAGCAGGATCTTTTGAAGTAGTTACTGGAGTAAGGCCAGTTTGTGTTTTATTCCAACCCCATTATTCAACTACTTTCGAAAAGTCACGCCATAGTTGAACCTGATATTATGATCTCAATTAATGCTGTTGTGCAGCTGCGCTTGTTGGTGGTAAGGATGCCAAATTGAATTAACTTCACACCGACTTCACAAAACACTGGTATCGATATTTATCAAGATTTATATCATTTGTATCTTTCGATGCATAGAGTGCAAACTGGCCTCACTCAAGTAACTACTTTGAAAGATCCTAATTCCAAAGCATTACTTTTTTTATCTTGTAAGTGCAAGGCGGCTTGTGGTCAGGACCGTCTTTCACGTATCAGAGGCCCTGGGCACATTAGAATAATGGGGCCCCTATGACCATAATAAAGTACTATTTCCGTCGACCTCGTGTTAACGAATAAGTTTAATGTTTATGAAATCGTTCATTAATGACCCCTATTAATGATCAATTTGTCTATTAATGCACGATTGTTTTATAGGCAACCAAACATACACCGCGTGCATTCATTGTTTATGCTATAACTCACGGAATCTGCATTTGAATCGAAAATATGGATTCCATTGAAGATTTTCCGTTAATGGGTTCGCCTTTCCAAGTTTGTGAAACGATTTTAACCCCTGTTTTCTAACACAAGGAATTCATTTTCTATGTTGATCATTTCGACAGATGTCAAATGTCACTAATGTAAGTAACTAGGCTACTAGTTAGTAGTTTCCAGATGAATGATGAATTCGCGAACCTAGTTTTCTTCATTGCAGGAGAAATGAGAAATATAGTCAACAGAAAAATTTTGTAACCAACTCGTATATTAACAGGCGATTAATGATCTCGAACATTAACGCGCTAGCTTCGCTCGCACGTTAAAATATCTCGATCATTAATCGCCCAAATTGATACACTAGTTGGTTAAATAACTATTTTGTTAGAATAGACAAATAACGCTGAAATGCAAAGTTTTAGCATTATTTTTATTTCTTTACATTTATATTAGATATGATGAATCGATTTTATCATGTAATCCACACTAAGTAACCAGCATCCACGATTAGTCCTTATACTCCTTATATCTAGTATCTCTGCTGATTGAAGAGGAACCCTTCTAGATTTGAATTGAACAAAATCGTCAATTGTTTTCGAGCATATCACATTCTATCGGCATAAGCGACAAACTATTCAATCTCTCTTGAAGCATTGTACTTCTTAATTCACTTTTTATTCGTTTTAATTTGGAGAAGGAGCGTTCCCCACTGCAGTTAGTTACCATCATACTTAGAAAGATTCTTAGTGCGATTTCTACATTAGGAAAAGGTGTCTTCAATTTTGCTCTCTTTCAAAAGATTATATATTTTCAGTATACCATTTTTTAATTTTTACTCTGATCAATTTTCAAGTAGCTATCGGGACTAGGGGGCCCCAATCATCGCGGGGCCCTGGGCACGTGCCCAGTGGGAAAGAGGGGCCTGCTTGTGGTGGAGCCTGCGGATGCAGGAGAGCAGAACTGAGATGCAGACTGCAGAAGGAGAATTCATTTTCCCCGTTGAAGATATGGAAATCAACGAGCGTCTGGCCTCTGACAAAAATAATTTTAGTACCTAAGTGGATTAGGCTTACAGGGGAAACCACGAAAACAATACGCGCCGTGTGGAAACAAGCACCAATAGAATAGCCCATTTTATTATAGAAGATAAATTTATATGCATTTATGGAGATAGTTAAGGGCAGTTTATAGAGATTAATAGAATATGTTGTCATTCAATCAGCTCATGAGGAACAGCTCACTTTAACAAAACTATATTAATAATAATAAATGGTCTTTATTTTTCTTGGTGGAGTTCAGCTGACGCTATTCTTCCACTCTCAACTCAACCAAGTTTGAAAGTCACAAAATTGTTCATTGAACAGATTTATAAAAACTCATTATATTCATCTAGTCTACAAATTGAAGAAAAATACTCATACTGCAGTAATAATGATACATTATAATAATACATGTGTAAAAAGAACTATAAAAAACTAATAATAGTAATAATGAAGATGAGAGAATCAAAATCAGGAGATAAAGGATTCATTGTCTATGGATGAAAGATTGCTTGAGCTTACTCTTGAATGTAGTATGAGGATGACTTTTCAAATTTATATCAATTGTGTTATAGGATACGGCGGCATGGTATGAGAAGGATCGCTCGAAAAGATTATTTCTTGTACGAAATTTTTTCTTCTTTAATTTTTGTCTCAACATATTTTTTCGGAAAACGCAGTTTTGTAGATATTTGCTAAAAACAGTTTTTGTGTGCCATCTTGGCAAGATGGCGGCGCCGGCGGCATGTCTCTAAATTTGTATTTTGTGAATTTTAGTTCTAGATCCCCAAACCTCTAAACCTACAAAGTTTCAAAACTTCCAGACTTATTTCCAGGTAAAAATCCCCAATAAGTGGCCTATTTGGGTGGAACAGATTATAGTAAGAAATAATGAGTTGCTCCATATTATACTGAAAATGCTTGAACTATGGTCTTATTGTTCATCAATCCTTTTTTATGACATATATTTCTATCTCCTTAAAGCGACAAACACTACACAGTACACATTGTAAACAAATAATTGCTCACATTGGTAAACAACTGTCAGATTTGGTGAGAATTTTTCTAATGATACTATTGCATCAGAAAGTGACATAATTTTCGAGGAAGGCGAATATGTTCCACCTGAATGCACGCTATTGTTTGGTAGTTATTTTACTTTAATTGAATTTGTTAGTTATATATTTTCTCTAATGCTGTCCTGCTAATGGTGAATTTATGTCTTATTTCTACAGGCCGTGGTGGGGAGCTGGCATGGGGAGAGGACCTTACCAGATGTAAATATTGAGAATGATAATACATGTAATTTCAAGTATGTTTGTATTTTGTATGTTTATGCATAACAGTAAGTGTAAATATTAGAAGTGTACCAATAAAAAACAATCCGAAAACCCCACAAATCAATAAGATTAAAGAGGATGGAGTGTATTTGTCGACAAACATGTGTTCTACTGGTAGAATTGGCAGAATCATCAATTGCAGAAATAAATACAACAAAATTCCAGAGCTCGTTATCAGTTTCAACAATCCAAATGATCTGTCTGAAAGAACCATCATTCCGCCAGATATTCTTCTTCAAACTTTTTGAAATCTTCTTCTGTGAATGCTGTTTGTTGCTCCCCAGTGTTTTCTGTAGCTTTCGTCAGTGGTCGTCTAGTAACAGCTCTCTCAATTATCTAAAAAACATACGTAATTGAAAAATCTAAACTATAAAAGTTGGTAAGGAAATTTCAGTGAAATCTAAAATTTGTCAAAACTGAATGTGTTTCATCAAGGAGACATCTAATGTCACTTTATTGAGGTGGTAGTCGCAACCACTCATAAACAACTGTAACTTGTTATTGTTTATGAATATGGAAGTATCAGTATGATTATTATTAAATTTACTCCACATCCTGTGGTAGAGGTAGGCGTGCGGCAAGGTGAAATTAGATAGATATTGAGGTGATTCGGGTATGGGTCGTGTTTTTTCTGCGTATTTGATTGGAATTTGATCTATGATAAGAAAAAAGGGCACAATATGGTAGGGGTAGGCATGGAGAAGTGAAATTAGGTAAACATAGATATTGAGGTAAGGGGTAAATAATATATCTCAGGTAGGTAGATATAAGAAGAAATTAGGTATTCATTGTGTTCAATTACGTGTGTCTTATCCAACGTGCTATATAGCGAGCTATTGTTCAGATTTATATCGAAAATGGTTAAAAGTGGAAATAAGTGTTATCATAATTGTGTAAAACCAAGAATCAAAACCAAAAATCCGAGAAACTCAGTCGAGAATGGGTGAGAAATTCAGGAAAGGAAAAATATGATTTAATATTACCTATTATACATATACAGAGTGTTACAAATTCGAGAATAAGCATGGGGATCTCGGTAATCTTAAGAGATACAGAGTTGGTTGAATTAGGGAAAAGTTGCGCAATTTCATGCTGAACAAAATCCTGCCTTGTAATAGTAAAAATTTCAATTATTTCCGGAGATATCCGAAAAAAAAGGAAAATACGCAAAATCATTTTTATTTTTTCTCAGTTTGTTTGAAGCGATATTTCAAACTGAATGTCACTTCATCATTGCCACTTTTCTTCCCCTACGAAATGGAATCGTAAAATTAAAATCCGACGAACTATACCATTATACCTACTACATAAGTTGATTGCTGTTTTACAAAGTGTATTATTAGATCAATTAAGTTATAAAGTACTCTAACTAGTGTATCAGACAAAGACAAATTAATAACAAAAACACTGTAATTGACAAAGATGAGTAGGTAGCTCCCTGCCTTTTATAAACATTATTTTCACTGAAGTAAGTAAACATTTTACGAATTCTTTTGGTGGATATCGGGAAACTATCGAAAAAGCGAATAAAAAATCCAGGTCCGTATTGAAAAAAAAAATAAGTGACATTCAGTTTGAGATATCTCTCCGAATAAACTAAGAAGTAAATAATAACGATTTTGCATACTTTCCTTTTTGTCCGGATATCTCCGAAAACAATTGAAATTTGCCCAGCAGCATTTTGTTGAGCATGAAATTGCGCAACTTTGCCCTAATTTGACCTCTGTATCTCATAAGTTTACCGAGATCCTCATGCTTAGCCACGAATTTGTAACACCCTGTATACACTTCTATCGTTCTATCATTTGAAATGACTCAAATATTGTCTCAATATATACCGGGTGTTCCTCAGAGTGCCTCACCCTTTTAACATTGTGCTTCTACATTTAAGTTAAAGTCGGTGTGAGGTGAAGAAAGTAAATGCATTTGCATTTTTGACTTATTAAATTAATTTGAATCAATTCATGCTCCATGATTGGCCGGGACTGATTCTTACTTCATCACTTCGCAAATAGGTATATTTTCAATCTTGATAGAAATTCACATTGTGAGGGAAACATCGATATTTGCTCGCCTACTTGTCACTTTTTGGCATTCATCATTGTCTTCGTAAAATTTTCAATTTTCTGTCTAGAGTGCCATGAATGAGTTGAGAAGGATAATTTTGATTCAAGCCAAGAAAAAATAGTTTCGATAGAGTATTACTTTTCATTTGTTTCACATGTTGATTCAAAGTTTACTCAAATTTATGTCTTGAAGAATATTCGAGTACGTTTTCAAATCTTTCGAAATTGTACATCTTGAAGAAGTACAGGTACCTTCCTACATTTTGAAACCCAAAAGTATTCAGGTACTTCCCCAGTCTGGGAGATCATTCTGGAATTCTATTTGCAATAAAATAATTATTAAAAAAAACTTGTATTTATTACAGCTATCCAAATGAAACAGGAAACTTCAATCAATTGAGAAGGTAGATATACTCATAATTTCTCAACTTTTCAATATACTCAATTTCTGATGTTTTTTAGTTTGATTTTTCATTGTACTTGAACATTTCTTTACATTCTTTATGAAGTTTACATAGTATGAGATGATCCACAATAAAATCCATGTGCTCTTTTCATTCAACTCTTTGGAGAATGTAGCACTTCTCAAGAAGTTTTTGAAAAATTTGATTTTTAATAATAATTTTGTTTTATTTGTATATGGCTTCTAGTTGAACGTTTTTGAGAAATATGTCAATGCTCTCTCTATCAAAGTCTTGAGGTCATCACCAGGGTATTTCAAATGTTGAATGCTGGTACCATAGTTTCAATTAATGATAAGTAATTGTTTTGTATCATTCAATATAATATCAGTATTTTTCCACGCACTTTTTTGCCCCAAGTATCCTGCAAAGTAGGAGTTAGAACAGTCTTCTAGAGTTACTTCAGATGAACTATCTTCTTTATCTGATGGAGATGAGGATGATGAAAATATTTCATCATCAATTGAATTTTCTGTGGAAGGCGGATCACCAGGCACTTTCTATATAATCTTCGGTGAGATAGGATGCCGTAGAAGTCGTAGTCTTAGATGGAATCGTCAACAAATTAACATCATCATCTTCTTCACAATTACTCGTATCAGATGATTTCATCAAATTCATTCTAGCAATGAATCGGAAAGTGCGTCTAAAAGTTCTCACAGTTGGGTTTGGGTTGAATCCACCTCTTTGTCTGACATTTGAAAATGTGTTTTCAATCACATCCTGATTTAATCTATTTGTCAAAAGATAACTGAGTCCTTACTCGTTTTGCATTGTGTAAATCTCTAAAATCGAGGATATATATAATAAAAATGCCATCAAAACAGGGAGGTCTAGAATGTCCAGTTGTTGTGTTTCTGAATATCTGTCAAAGTATTTCTTGCTGATATAACAATATTTTCTACCAATGGGCGTTCATCCGACATTGCGCAATTATATGGATTTTTGACATACAACTGTTTAAACAGTCGAATAAATTGTTCATCATTTGGATAAAATCTGCTGAAGCAAGAGCAGTATCACTTTTCAATTGTGATATCTGATTGCAAGTTCCTATTGCAGAAGCAACAAAACTACCAAAAATTTGAAGTGCCAAACTGCAGCTCATCTCTTCGAATGATGATGGATTCATATGGGCAGGAGTAACTTTGAGCAGAGTCCTTCTTGTTTTGCTACTCGAATCTATATGATATGCTTATCTTACATCATTGAATGAAACTCTCCTACCCATCCACATGAAATCATTATGTAACCAATTACTTCTGAAGTTTTTGAATAAATGTAATGGGTCGAAAATGCAATATATTTTGTTACCATCAATTTCGAAATACGGCTTCTCAATCAACACTTCCAAATTTTTCATAGCCGCTTTGTTGTTTGTTCCCTGGTCACAAACTACTGCTTTAACAGTGAGACCAGTATTCGATATTAGTTGAATTGCTTCAATGAGCATTTCTATCAAAATAGAGTGTTTAATTGCATTACCACAGACAAAATATCCCAAAGGAATCTTCCACTTGAAATAAATTCCTCTTGCTAGGAATACCATCACTTGGGAACCCTGTTCCCTAGATCTACCACCAATTACTCCCAGATCTTCAAATCCCTCAATGGTGTCTAATAACTTGGAGTACTCGAACATTTTTTTGATTTTCATTTTATCAAATACAATTGTGCAGTACTTTTCTGACTCGTCCATAACATGTACTTTTTGTGTGATTTGATAGAAATGTTTTTTAATCGAAACCAGGCCTGAATGGAGAACTTCCAATCCATTTTCTTATTGTCGATAAAACAGATAAACAATGTTCAACTTGTTTCTAAGAAATTTGTATGTCGATGGAGATTTATAAAATGTCAATAATCAATCTTCCGTCCAAATGTTTTTTCCGATGTGAAGTTTGCATTCTTGTGACTGCACAAGAATACTTTGACTTTGATTCAAATTTGATGTTGTCAATGACATGTTGAGAGCCTCTGTGCTGTTTAGAACATTTATTTCTCAAATATGAAACTGTTAATCTTTTGTTTTTCAAAATACATCTCTGATTTTGAACTGTTTTAGATTTTTTCTTAATTGGTGTGCCAGCTTCATCATAAGAAAGTTTTCTTCTTGATCTAGGACTCGATGGCATATTGGTAATGTCTATAATATATCGTTTCGTCTCGTCGGAAATCTGCGAATCTGAATCACTGGATTTTTTTCTCGAAGTGAACGATTCTTCTAGTAGAACATCTGGCAAGGAATCATGTAACATGACATTTTCGTAGGTTCTGGTAGGTTTCATGAAACTCAGATTTTCTGGGCTCAAAGAAACATCGTATGACTCCTTAGACGCCGAAGGTAAATTTCTAAATAGAACAGGTGATTGACTTTTTAGGTAAGTGTCTTTCTCAACGATTGCTCCATCAGAGAAACGTTTCGAGGCAGCAGTTTCTTCAACAATTTTCGATTCAATGTATTCCGGAAGTCATCTTCAGAGAAATGCTCAGCACAAACAACT